TCCAGTTGTGGGGCCTAAACTCTGGGCCTGGGTGCTGTCCCTCAGCTCTTCAGCTCAAGACTAGTGCTCTACCACTTGAGCCACAGCACCACTTCTGGCTTTTTTCTTTTTGTTTATGTGGTCTGAGGAATCGAACTCAGGGCTTCATGCATGCAAGGCAAGTGCTCTACCATTGAGCCACCTTCCCAGCCCCAGGTTTCATATTTTTAAACAGCTGTGAAACAAAACCAAAACCTGTGCTCAACCAGAAAAACATCAAAATAATGCAAAGAGCATGCAACAGACTGCATGGCAGCTAGTATCCACCCACTAGCTGGGCCATTGCAGCCAAAGGCTGCAGACCTTCTCTGAATTGAAGGAAGAAATCTTTGTGAAAATAGGCTCTTAGCTCCGTACTGTGAGCTCGGCCTAAAGGGAACACAGAGAGAAGGTGGAATTTCACTCTGCAAACAGGGAACTTCCTGCAGAGTCACTTAATTGTAAGGAAAGGGTCAATGGATTCGTCAGATGAGACAAAATTCCTAAGATTTGAAGATCATACACATATTACTGTGGGCTTCTCCCCTGTGAATCGCCCAGGTTGGCTTACACAACAGACATTTCTTTGCTCCCAGTCCTGGCGGCTGGAGGGAGATTAAGGTGCTGGCAGGGTTGAGTCCCCGAGGCCTCGTTCCTCGGCTGGCAGCCGGCCACCTGTGCGCTGTGTCCTCCCATGATCTCTCCTCCGCCTGGTGTCCCTTTGTCACCTTTTCTAATACACACACTGCTCAGACTCAAGTAGCTCTCACCCTAATGGCCTCATTGAATTTACCCTTTAAGCGTCCTATCTTCAAACGAGGCTACACTGTGAGACCCACATTGGAAGGGATTAGAGCTTCAACATATGAATTTGAGGGAGAACATAAATAAGCCTAAAATGAGTACAAATTACCAGCGTGGATCCCCTCATCTAGAAAAGGCAATCCTTAATAGTCAATGTATGTATGTGAACATAGAACTGGGTAAATTGAGGGGATGTGTGGGGTTGGGCGGGATGGGAGAGAATGATCAAGGGGGTGACACCGATCAAGATACATGTTCTCACAAAGTGACACACTGACTTAAAACTCTGTGCACCACTACTTATACATAAGGAAAAAAGTAAATAAAAAGATAACTATTTTTAGGTCGTGGGGCTTGAACTCTGGGCCTGGCCGCTGTCCCTCAGCTCTTCAGCTCAAGGCGAGCACTCTACCACTTGAGCCACAGCACCACTTCTGGTTTTCTAGTGGTTTATTGGAGACAAGAGTCTCATGGACTTTCCTGTCTGGGCTGGCTTTGAACCGTGATCCTCAGACCTCAGCCTCCTGAGTAGCTAAGATTACAGGCGTGAGCCACCAGCTCCTGGCTTAAAAAAGACAACTTTGGCCCATTATGAGGTACAATAGTTGTGTAAGAATGGGACAAAGCTAGTCCAACTTTAGGGGACATTTATGTATTAAGACCTCCCTGCCTCAGCCTCTCAATTACTGGGATTACAGGCATGTATCACTAGGTTCAGTTCTAGACAGCCTTGAAATGACAGCATCTATGCCTTTTGAAGCTGTCTGAAACATTGACTGGACCCCATTTTGCCACATACTCCCCCTATATCCCAGTCTTAGCCTCATAAACAAGGCTAAGAGTAGCTGAAGGCAGGGGACAGTGAAATAATGCGATATATCCTTCACAGAGCACTGGCCGGCTGGTGGAAGTTCTCTCTTCCTCGCTGGCCTAACTACAGAAGTTCAATTCTGAGTAGATGGCGCCATAAAGCAGGAGCACCATGGCTTACCACGCGGAAGACAGCCGTTCCGGAGTCACAAGCCTCATTAAAATTTGTCTAGGAAACTGGACTCCTGTAGCTCCTGCCTGGAATACTAGCTAGCTACACAGGAGGCTGCTATCTGAGCATCACGGTTCGAAGCCAGGCTCTGGGAGACTCTCATCACCCATCATTTGCAGTGGTGGTGTGGCTCAAGTGGTACAGTACCAGCCTTGAGCAAAAATGCTAAAGGTAAGTATGAGGCTCTGAGTTCAAGCCCCAGTACTGGCATGCATGCGCGTGAACGTGCACACACAGACACACACAGACAAATTGTGTAGTAAACACTTATTCAATGGTCCCTGAGATTTGGAGTATAGTATGTTGGGGAGGTAAAAAGCCCAATCTCTTCTCTAAACTGGCAGCCAAGGGAGAGCCCACAGGAAGGGGCCTGTTCCTCAGAGCCGCCACCAACTCCCCGCCCGGCTTTGGATGAGAAATCTTGCTCCTCCTGCAGGACTGCAATCCACCCTCTTGCAGCTGGCTGTGAAAACAGGTCTAGGGGGAAAATAAAACAAAACTAAGGTTTTGTTGAAGTGTAAAGTTTAAGTCAAAGTGCTTGCTCATCTTCTGAGTAGAGAGGCAAGTGGCTCAGGCCCGGACGGCATCATTTGCGTTAAGAAGCTTCCTGGCAAAGTGCTCTCACAGTACACCAACTTCCCATTGTGAAGTACTCCGCTCCAACGGATCCCCAGCGGAGCCTCCACATCACGGCCATTCTCCACTCCCAGAGGCGGTTTCCTCAAATGCCTCATCATTTGCACACCAGCGCCTTCCCCTTCCCACCCCTTCTTACCCACAGATAGCCAATCCAAGACCCAATGGTGTGTTGAAAACACATCCACAGGAAAGAAGTACAAATATGTACCCTGTTTGTCTTTGGAGCCAGATGTCTGAAAAGCTCCCTTGACAAAAAAAAAAAAAAAAGAAAGAAAGAAAGAAAAAGGCTGCCACAAAGAATCCTCTCATTTACTACTCAGGAAACACGCTCCTTTCATTGAAAAGTGATGACATGAACTTGAACCGCCTCCCAGTACTGCTCTGAATGCGTCTCCCCACGCCCAAGGCATGCAGAGGACGGCACACAGAAAGCAGATGCAGTCACCAGGACACTGCCAGACCCGCCGCCCACCCTCAAACATAAATCAGCCTTACACTCCTTCTGAATTTTTCTTTCTCTGTAAGGCTCTCTGCACGTTGTTTTGTGGATTTAATCTAGTGAGACTCAATCATCTTTTTTCTTTTGGTGCCAGTGCTGGGGCTTGAACTCAGGGCCTGGGCGTTATCCTTGAGCCTCTTTGTGCTCAAGGCTAAGGCTCTATCACTTGAACCATAGTACCATGCCCAGCATTTCTGAGTTTATTGGACCTAAAAGTCTCATGGACTTTTCTGCCCGGACTGGCCTCGAACCAAGATCCTCAGATCGCAGCCTCCTGAGTAGCTAGGATTACAGGTGTGAGCCATCAGCACACGGCTCCTAGTAGCCTTTTAATAGCTGAGCTATACATCAAGGAGTTGCGGCTTATATTGGAGACCAACGGAGGAAGACAGAGGCACAAAGTAAGCATCTCCAGCCTTGATACGGTGTGATGCTCAGAAATCCATACAACTAGGAAAACTAGACTTCGTTCTGCAAAATCAAGTTTGATGTGGTAGGATATGCCTGAGGTCCCAGCTACATGGGAAGCAGAGACAGGAAGATCTAAGTTGGAGGTTGACCCTGGACAAAAGCACTATAGCCGGGCTGGGAAGGTGGCTCAGTGGTAGAGCGCTTGCCTTGCATGCCTGAGGCCCTGGGTTCAATTCCTCAGCACCACATAAGCAAAAAGAAAAAAGCCAGAAGTGGCACTGTGGCTCAAATGGTAAAGTACTAGCCATGAGTGAAAAAGCTGAGGGACAGTGCCCAGGCCCAGAGTTCAGGCCCCACAACCGGACCAAAAAAAAAAAAAAGCACTATAGCCTATTGGAAAAATAAACTAATGCAAAAGAACACTGTGAGTATGGCTCAAGTGGCAGAATACCTACTTAGCAAGTGACAATCCCTGAGTTCAAACTCCAGTGCCACTCTCTCCGGCCTCCAATTGTGCAGAATCTCAAAACTATCTGTTAGAGCTGAGTACTGGTGGCTCACGCCTGTAATCCTAGCTACTCAGGAGGCTGAGATCTGAAGACTGCTGTTTGAAGCCAACCTGGGCAGGAAAGTCTGTGACTCGTATCTCCAATAAACCATTCAGAAACAGCCAGAAGGGCACTGTAGTTCAAGTGGTAGAGCACTGGCTTTAAGAATCTCAGGGGCAGCATCTAGGCCCTGAGTTCAAGTTCCAGGACTGGCACCCAAAACCAAAAACTACCTGTTGGAACCACAACTTAATCTGCTGTCTCAGCTTTTCAGCATATCACCACTAAGCTTAATGTCTTCACCATAGAAGGGGACCCAAGGGCTTAAGCAATGTAATATGTTCAAAAATGCTCTGTGAATGGTTAGGAATGGTTTACTGGAACAATTCATATAGCTAAATTAGACTCTATCACCCCTCCTCTCCCAGCCCTGACTCACTTTTTTTTTTTTTTTTTTTTGTCGGTCGTGGGGCTTGAACTCTGGGCCTGGGCGCTGTCCCTCAGCTCTTCAGCTCCAGGCGAGCGCTCTACCACTTGAGCTACAGCACCACTTCTGGTTTTCTAGTGGTTTATTGGAGATAGGAGTCTCACGGTCTTTCCTGCCCGGGCTGGCTTTGAACCTCGATTCTCAGATCTCAGCCTCCTGAGTAGCTAGGATTACAGGCGTGAGCCACCGGCGCCCGGCCCTGACTCACATTTAACACAAGGCCAGTGTCCTGTCTCATGGGCTGTTTTCATTCTCCACGAGAAAAGTTGACCTGGCAAAACTGAAAGGCATGTGAAGAATGAGGAGTGATCTCGAACTGTCACTTGCCATATGTCAGGCGGACAGATATTTGGAGAATACCTGGTACAGGTAAAACAGAAAATCCCTTCCAATAACCCATAAGCTCATCTGCCACTTGTGTCCAGTTTCTTGGCCAAGAAATGTAAGTAAACAATGGTTCTATTCACCATATTTCTGATATTTTTAAGATCTGTCAGCAAATAAAGAAGCAGTTGTAGTGAAGAAAAAGTGTATTTCAGTCATTATAAAAGTACATACATTGAATAATGGTGATATAAATATCGTCCTTACTTATGACCGAACCATACAACTCACATGGACTCTTTCCTCTTGGACTTCAGCACGATGAATGATTGGTCATTTCTGTCAGTTAGCAATAGGCTGACTGAAATCACAGGCACAGACCGATGCAGGACAGTCACGGGTCGGACAGACAACACACTTTGTACTTATCAAAGGAATAGTCAAGTTTTCCATATAAATATAATAAAATAATAAAGACTTTTTAACATTTCTTCTCTCAATTCAGTTTCATAGATTTGTCTGGCAGGTGCTCACACACACACACACCAAAAACACAGTTTCTTTCCCCTCCCCCTCACTCTCTTTCACCTTGCACCGGGTTCACAACACACCTGAGTTTTAGAGTCTCAAGTTACCAGTGGCAACAGGGTCAGCTAGTGGTACCATACTGCAGCTGTTCCAGAAGCTTGCAAACAGAGGGGACCATGTTCTCCACGAGCTAACAGCAACAGAGAGCCACCCACCCACATCTGGAAGGAAAAGCCAGGCGCTACGAGACGCTCACAATGCACGGGGACACATCCTTCCAACCTGCAGGGCAGAACAGTCGGAAGCTATCTTTACAAAAAACAGATTCTTCACCCACCCCAAATTGAACATTTTTTCATATTCAATGCAGAGAGGGTTGACCAGATGACTCTTCAAAAGCTCTTGTTTTTCTACGGTAAATTCTGGAGCCCAGACTGAAGTCACACAAAGGAGGATTAGCAGGAGACTGCCCTCTTCTTAGTGTGCTCTTAGGGCTGGGGTCAATCCCTCCAAAAGGATCAAGAAGCCCCAAAGTCAGCTGGGACTGAGCTATCTCAGTGGCGGCCAGAATCACCCAAAGACCTTTCCTCACCTCATCCAGTCAGCTTTGAAGGGTCTAACAAAGTCTCAAATGGTAACTGAGAAAGGCCAGAATCGCCCACTCTCTTCTCTGGCTGCCAGCGAGATGAAGGCTAGCCTTATGTACAATATGAAGGGACTTGGCCCACATTGGAACTGATGGACCAGATGACTGCTCTGCAGTGATCACAGCAGCGGTCACTTGCATCTACTCTAGGCAAAAGTCTAAGATTCCAGGCTGCTCTGTAATATGTCTCCTGAATTAACTACTACACAACCTGGGCCAAGTCACATTCCCTTCTTGCAATTCCGCTCACAACAGAGAACCTGCTTCCAGAAGCCAGGGAGGTGGCCTCCACTGGGCTGTCCAGCTGGACACAGTCAGATAACACTAGGATCCACAAAACGTACACATGGGGACGGTACAGTCACAACTGGAGACGCATCTTTGGTTCGATCCTTGGCAAAAGGGGTGGAAACACCACATGGACCGGAAGTCAGGATACACAGCTTTCGTTGAGGAAGGAGCTTGGTGTGCGTGAACATGAGTTCTCTGAAGGGCCAGCCAGTTCACCGCTCAAAGCCACCACCTGCACTCCACCTTAGACTCATTTCTGGGGAGCTGGAAGTTGGGGTGCACACAGGGAATGTAGCCTTCACTCAGATTCTGCTGCAACCATCTTGTTTTTTTCTTTTAAAGGAACCACCTGTAACTGTGTTTTCCACCTTCTGGAGGGATCAAGGCTCTCTGTTGATGCAATGAGAAGAACACAAGGTGGCTGAGAACCTGGCTTTCTGGCAGCACACTATGGTCCAACACCACTACAAACAACACCCAAGCCAGCCTTTTCACTGTTCCTCTCATGGACACATGAATTCAGTGCAAGTGCTTTTTAATCTCTCCATCTAGGGTGTAGAGAATGATGTTATTCAATTTAATAGCGTCACAGAAAGAACACAAACAAACAAAAACACTCTTTGGATAAAATCATTCTGCTACCAACCAGTTTCAACCAAAAGAAGACAAAAAAAAAATCTGTCAAAACTCTGCTTGGGAACAAGTGTTTCCTTCAGTCTTTTCTTCCATCAGATCCTTTCCATTTGGTTCCACCATTGCCCAAGGTTCTTCCTCTGGGCTTCCTGGTCCTGCATGGCTGGGTTGCAGGGATTTGCTGTTAGGGAAGAAGGGCCACACCGTTTCCTTCTGCAGAGGAAATTCTGGCCAGGATGAATGAGTTAGGGTATTGTTGGCCTCCGTGACCGACTGCTGAAGAGTGGTCCGCAAAGAGGCACATGCATAGCACAGAGGAAAGAGAGATCGGGTAGTCTGAAGATCCGAGGGACCCAGGAAGTCAGGGGGACTTTCAACCCTAAGCCCAGCTGGGTATGGATAAGGTGGGTGAGGAATAAGCGCAAAGGGAGTCTCCGATGGGAAGTGGCTGCCCCCACACCCAGACCTCCTAGTGACTTTCAGGAATGTGTGTGTGTGTGTGTGTGTGTGTGTGTAGGTGGGGCGGGGTCCCTTAAGAAAGGCTTGTGGTACAGATGTTGGGACTGTGGATTTCAGCTGGTCCATACTTGGGATGAGGCTCTAAAGGAAGCTCCCATGAGGTCTCTGACTGCTCATGCCCTCTCAGATGTGTGGAGCGCTCTGTTCCGCTGCTGTCTCACAATCTCATTGGCTCAGGTTAACATTGGCTCTTGACCCCATCAGCCATGTCGAAGGAAAGGCTGCTGGGGCCCGTGGGCTGCAGCGGGGGCATGCTGGCCTCCAGGGGCCTCTCTGCAGAGGGCTGCAGGCTCTGGTGTCGCTTCCTCAGCATCTGTCCAATGCCCATCATCGGGAACCTGCCCCGGCTCTTCACACAATTGGGGCTCCCCAGTGGCTGCATGGGGCCATGGTTGGCCACGGGAGGTGGGGAACACACGCCTTCCTCTTTGGGGGGGCCGCTCTTGTCTTCGTGAGCAAAGGAGACGAGAGTAGAATGCAGTGGGGTCTGGAGAGGTGACATACTTCCAGACAAGAGCGCCGGAGAGAGTGTCCTGTCCCCGGCATTCCTGTGGGCCAAGCTCGCAGGGGAGTTCAGAATCCTGTAGTGGTGAGAAGGAGACAGCAGTTCTATGTGGTCGTCACGATCGACAGACTCAAAGGAGCGCACCATATCCAGCATCAGGGGGTCTTCCTTAGGGAGGATGCCGGCACTGCCGGGCCCTTGCTGCTGGGGCTCTGCTTTCTTTACAATCCTGGGGGTCCTGGGAGGTGGGACGGGGATGAACTCCATGGAAGAAGACGCCACACAACTGGAATCAGAGGTTTTCCGGAAAAGATTGCGGCAGCCAAAGGAATCTGTACATCAAGAGATCAAGGAAATCAGGATAAATACAGAAACAATGCACATAGTAGCAGCCTTCTGCCAGCACCGAGGCTCAGCTTGGTGAGACAGGACCCCAGTGGAGGACCACGGAATCAAGAAACAAATGGTCACAACTCCCCAGGAGAAGTTAGCCATTACGACTCTCCTTTTGTATGCTTAAAATTCTAGACTGTAAACCAGGAGCCAGGCTCACACCTGTAATCCTAGCTACTCAGGAGGCTGAGATATGAGGATCATGGTTCAAAGCTAGCCCAGGCAATGAAGTCTACAACACCAAAACCTAAAAAAAGAGCTGCAGTTCAAATGGTAAAGTACTAGCCATGAGTGAAAAAGCTCAGGGACAGTGCCCAGGCCCTGAGTTTAAGCCTTAGAACTGGCATGCATGCACGCATACACGCATACACACACACACACACACACACACACACAAACACACACGAATTCTGGACTCTATAAAGAGGATGAATACGATCATGGTATATTATGTGCATATATAGAAATCCAATGAGGGCTGGGAATGTGTTTTAGTGGTAGAGTGCTTGCCTAGCATGCATGAAGCTCTGGGTTTGATTCCTCAGTACCACATACACAGAAAAGCCAGAAGTAGACCTGGGGCTCAAGTGGTAGAGTGCTAACCCTGAGCAAAAGAAGCTCAGGGACGGTACCCAGGCCCTAAGTTCAAGCCTCAGGACTGGCAAAAAAAAGAGAAAAGAATGGAAAAGAAATCACAATGAAACACTGCTTTGCACAATTAATGTATGCTAGTAAAAATAATTTTAAAAAATTCTGGACTCAGTCAAGGGACCTTTGAGTAAAAAGGACCAGGTACTGACAAGATACCCACTGAACTCCTGCAAATGTACCATGCCCAAAACACCTGCTAATCCGGTCCTTCACCCGCTGCCCTGCAAGAACTGGGTCCTTCAGGGATGGACATCTTGGTTTTGCTTTTAAGTGTATCTTGATAAAACATACAGAACAGGACACTGATTCCTGTCACCATTTTTTTTACTACATAATTCAGTGATGTATATTCGTACCATGCAATCAAATTTCACAGCAATTTTCGCCTTGGAGCTGACCCTCCCTGCCTCTCCTTCTCCTGCTATGCTACTTCCTGCCTCCAGGAACCTGACTATTCTGACCAGAATTGCACGATAGCTGTTCTTTCATGACTGGCTCATTTCACTCAGCGCTTTGGCCCCCGTGTCCTCGTGTGCTGTGGCGTGTGTCAGGATCTCCCTCTCTTTTAGGGCTCTCTCATGACTTCTGAACTTCGGGAGACCCATCTGAACAGGAGGTTCATCTACACGTTAAGGCAACCGGCCAGTTCTCATAAATTCCACTTCAACCTGGCACAGGCTAGAATGCAGGTTTACAAACAGTATCAGAAAGGAGAGGGGAAATCCCTTTATAGATGTGGAGCTGAGGGGAAGAAAGTCAAGCTCATATGGAACATGCCCAGTCACAGATTCTTTTCCCTCAGTGTTACATTTTATAGGCCCCATCCAGGCCCAGCTGCAGGAGCAAGCAGCTGCCCACTGTGTGTGATGCCGGGAGCAGCTGAGGGTACTAGACTCTTCCTTGCCTACATAAATAAACAGAGACACCAAAATAAATCTGCTCAGGCAGCAGATGCGAGAGGAAGTAAAATTTCATTAATGCCTAATGTCTCCGGCAGACACACGGGCAGTATCTCATCAGCATGTGCTAGGTGCTCTGCACCCAGGAAGGCGGGCTGTTCTGAGCTACATGGGGACAGAGTGGCCACTGTCCAGTGGCCTCACTGACTGCCCGGCCAGCCTGAGTTGACCTCAGATGGACATGGCTCTCTTTCTAAAAATCCTGCATCTTCACATCAAAGAGAGAGAGAGAGACAGAGAGAGAGAAAGAGAGAGAAAGAGAGAGAGAGAGAGAGAGAGAGAGAGAGAAAGAGAGAGAGACTGGACAATGTGACTTCTTCCAGCGCCCCAGGAACAAGAACTGTCTGTCCTCCAATGCCCAGGTCTGTGTCAGGATGCCCAGCCTTGGGTGTCCTTTCTCTTGGTATTTTCTCCCCTGTGCATCAAAGCAGTGTCTGGGGAGTCCTCTCCTTTCCACATCCTCCCCTGCCTGTCCCAGAGGACAGCACAGATTCTGCAGGGCACAGATTCTGCACTAGGAGAGGAGCCTACATAAACAGTTCATTCCATCTACCTGGTAGCTCCAACAGGGAGAAGCTGTGAGAAGAAGCAAAGAAGGCTTGGGGCAGTCACGGGCAGTAAATGTAGATTTGAACTCAGGTCTGAGACCCTATCCTCAGCCCAGAGTGCAGACTTAGTTGCACTTCTAGGCTTCACAGGAGCTATGCTTGTGGCAAAGGCCCTAATCTATGCTTCTGTTCTTGTACCCCAGCCTCTATTCCTGAAATGCCTGATCACTGCACACATACATATGTATCCCAACCTCTGTCTTACAGCACTGTGAACCCCTCTGCTCCTAAAACACAATGCACCCCAACCTTTATTCCCACAATGCTATGTACCTTAATCTCTGCTCCTACAATACCAAGCACCCTATCCTCTGCTGCTACAACACCAAGCACCCCAACCTTTGTTCCTATAATACCACGCACTCCACCTCTGCCCCAACTGTGCCAGGTGTACTCCAGTCTCTTCTCCCCAAGCACACACACCTCGATCACTGCTCCTGTAATGCCATACCCCAGTCTCTGTGATTCTGTACTCTCCCATCTGGCTCCATGGCACCACCCACCTGCTCTGTGTTCCCAGCCGCTCCCCCCCTCCCGCCGGCACAGGTAGCTAATACACCACAGCTGGGCCGTTGGTTCTCCTCCTGCTTCCCCAAGGGTAGCTCCTGGGATGGGGCATGAGCTCAGGGTCTTCTGTAACCGCTCAACCTGTTGGATGAAATGAGATACACAAAGAGGCCCCGCCCCTCCCCCCCACGCCCCCACCCTCCAACTCAGAAGCCAGCACACTACAGACAATGAGTTACCATCCAAGAGTCCCCTGGTCTGGGCACGCACAGCTGTGTCCCCTATGGAGGGTACACTGCAGATACCAAGCTCAACATAGGTGAGCTGAGAGGGTCCTCAGAGATCACCCACCTTTGTCAGGGAAGGCAGACTTGGAGGCCTTCCGGTCCTTCAGCAGGGCTTTGGTGTTGTGAATCTGCGTGATGAGGGAGGCCGGGGGCTGTTTGTGGGAGGGCAGGTTCTTATCCAACTTCTTGGAAAAAGGTCGATGAAGGAAATCCCCTCTCTTTTCTTGTTCTTTGGGCTTCTTGTCCTTCAAATCAGAAGCAAACATACATACTGAGCCACACATGGGCCTCCTCTTTGGAAAGTCATCGGAGGGTATTGGAGGAATCCTAGCTCTCTGCTTCTGCATGCTCTCTCTCCCACAGGAGCCATAGGGAGGAGCTGGGTCTGGACGATGCTCCAAGGAGTCCAGCTCCTTCCGCTTGCTTGACCAGTGGGCCTCGGCCAAGGCCTCCCTAGGAGTTGGTTATTTCAAACCCGGGCTGAACAAACTCAAGTGAGGCAGATGAGGCCTTCTGCAAACCTATCATGTACCATTTACAATGGTACCCTAGCTGGGGAAGGCACAGGGGTCATGTGAGCACTGCAGAAGAGGAGGCAGAATTGCATGTCTGAAACTAGCCTGGGATGTATAACATTCTGTCTCAAACCAACAAGAAATAACAATTCAGAATAAATAAATAAAGTGGTACCCTGGGATGCTACGCTCAGTGAGGCCTTGCAACCTGAGATGTAGCTGATGCCCCTGCTCTGCCAGGCCAAGGAACCCGACACAACTGGATAGGAGAGTCCAGAGGTCGGAGCAGTGCCCTGTGGGTCTCTGGTGCTTTCTATCCTCTAGGCTTGGGAGCGCTTCCTTGTAGAACTAAAACTCACAGGCTTGCAGCCTTATCTTGCTGTGAATTTTATCTTTACTTAACTAGGCTAAAGTCCCTCTGATAGAAGCAAACTTGTCACTATTGATTTCTCCTCAACCCCACTACCTCTGGCATGAAGCCAGGCACTTAAGGAAAAAGTAAGGAAAAAGCATAATACATAGCTATCGAAATCAACATTTTCAAAAAGGTCAGTAGAAACCAAATAAGAGGTCAGATGACTTGAGTTCAAATCTCTGGGAAGGGAGGAATGCCATGGCGTAGAAATTCCTTCTCTGGCCTGTAAGACAGTGCGTGATGTTTACCATTACCAGCAGACCGAGGCTGACCCGGCCTGGCTGAGGGAAAGGGGCAGCCTTCCACTCTTTTTTTTTTTTTTTCACTTCCAATTTTGAAGAGTATTTGCAATTCGAGAGAGCTCATCTATTTTTCATTGACGTTGCTGAAAAGCTTCTCAAAGAAACATCTCTTTGCACTTTTGTAAAAGTGCCCTTTCCGACAAGGATGCTCAATGCCTTTGAAGAGCGCGACTCACTGCGTCCAATGTGCGAGTGGAAAAGCACAGGGAGGCAGCAGACAGCAGGGCCTGAAGAGCCACGTTGTGGGGCCGTAGCTCTTGGGGGAAGGGGATTAAATCTGATTCAGTGGTTGGTTCCTAGTGGAAGAGCAAAATGGAATGAAATAGAGGCAAAGCCTCCTCAGCCTCCTGCCACACCTTCCAATGAGGACGCAGTGATGGCGGCTGCCAGCTGCATGAAATGCAGGACCCCCCCCCCAAAGTGCAGAATGCATTTGATCCCTTTACAAAGGAGCACAGCTTGGGCGGTTAAATTCAGAGACTTCCGCAGGTCTGGAGTCGGTACTGTGGACACTTGACTCCACACGGCCCTCTCAAAGCCTGGCAGTGAGTGTCAGGCAGTATCAGCGGGGGAGGGCATGACTGGCCAGGGCAAGGGCAGGGGCCAGGAACATGCTTCAGTCTGGTTCCTGGAAGGCTGTCTGAACGTGAGGCACAAGGCAAAGGCTCCAGGTTACCCTCTGGTGCTGTGGCTTGCCATTGTAACTGTGCTAAGAGGTGGATCCTTTAACACCAGGCATGGTCGTGCATGCTTGTAATCCCGGCACTCAGGAGACTGAGGCAGAAGGATGGTGAGCTTCAGGCTAGCCTGAGCTGAGTGGCATGGATCTTGTCTCAGAAAGAAAAAATAAAAACAAACAAAAGAAAAGAAAAGGAAGGGTGTTGAAGAAAAAGAAAGGAGGAGGAGAAGGAGAAGGAGAAGGAGGGGAAGCAGAAGGAAGAGGAGGAGGAAGAGAAGGAGGAAGAGGAGAAGAGAAGAGGAAGAAAAGGAAGAAGAGGAAGAAGAGGAGGAGGAGGAGGAAGAAGAGGAAGAGAAGGAGGAGGAGGAGGAAGAGGAGGAGAAAAAGGAGGAGGTGAGTCCTTCAAAAGGGGACAAGGTCATAGGAAGGACGGAGCATTATCACAGCAGTGGGTTGGTTGTCACGGAGTGAACTCGTTGTCTTAGGGCTGGGTTGGTTGTTGCGGGAGGAGGCTGCTAATTAAATGGATGAGGTTGGCCATCGATCTCTGACTCCTGCGTACACTTCCTAACCGTGAGCTGCCCTCCTCCCTCAGGTTAGGATGAAGCCCAAGGCCCTGCCCACAGGCTCATGCCATGCCTTTGGACCGCACTAGAACTGTAGGAACGAAGTCTCTGTTCTTTGTAAATTACCCAGACTCAGGTAATCCATTACAGAAAAAAAAAAATCCAGTATGCTACAATGTGCTCCGGGTCACCTAGTCACCTCGGGACCTGCGACAGTAATAACTTTTTGCTGTTTTCTGCTACTTTGTTTACATGAAAGTAAACATTTGTCTAAGGCAAAGAAAGATGAGCATTGACAACACACACACACACACACACACACACACATCTACAACATCCATGGGGGGGAGCGTATAAATGGTCTATTCTAGAAGTCTAGCCTATTTCCTTCCTTTTGCAGTTTTCTTTGTTTTTGTGTGCAAGTTACCATTGCTCTGTGTCAACACCTTTCATAGGAAAAGGGCCAAATGTACTTCTGTGATACATTTTTTAAAAATATTGATTTTTTTAAAGAATAAATTATATTCACCCCTTTTGCGAATTAAAAAAAAAATCACAGGCACTGGACGCTGGTGGCTCACGCCTATAATCCTAGCTATTCAGGAGGCTGAGATCTGAGGATTGTGGTTCAAAGTCAGCCTGGGCAGGAAAGGCCATGAAACTCTTATCTCCAAAAAACCACCAGTAAAACGAAAGAGCACTAGCCTTGAACTGAAGAGCTGAGAGACAGAGCCCAGGCAGAGTACAAGCCCCATGACACCCCCCAAAGAAAAAAAATCCCAGGCAGACAACATTCTTTCAAGCTGTTCTGAAACCTCCAAGCTTACCGCACGGCCAGCAGCTCTAGGGGTTCACATCAGCGCCTTTCCACCTCTCCTTGGGGGTCTCAAATACTTAAAAAGCAAGTCACAAAATGTCTCCCAGACTGAACTAAGTAGCATTAAGAGCTGCATTCTGGGTATCAGTAGTTCACGTCTGTAATCCTAGCTACTCAGGAGGCTGAAAGGCTGAAATCTGAGGATCCCATCTTGAAGTCAGCCAGCTAAGTAAAGCAATAGATTCTTATCTCCAATTAAGCAGAAAAAAAAAAGCTGGAAGTAGAGCTGTGTAATAATACTAGTCTTGAGCCAAAAAGCCAGGCAAGAGCATGTGGCCCTGAGTTCAAGCTCTATGACTAGCATGTGTGTATACACACACACACACACACACACACACACACACACACACACACACACACACACACACACACACACACACACGGAACCCAAAGTTTGCTGGGAAGGACACTAAGGTTAGCCTGTATGACCAAATTTTCCTCTAGTCAACAAAGAGAAAATGAAATTTCACTTTACTGCTTGATTGAAAGTTCCAGAAAACTCTACTAAGACTACCTTTATTGAGATTGATCCCAGGGTCCTGCTCAGCCTAGAACTGGTTCCAGACCACTCCCTCCCCAAGGGGCAGAACCTTGCCCAGCCGTGAAGCAGGGTCAACAGCCTGGAGGAAAGGCGGTTGTTTACAACCAGATCTCATTACCCTCTGAGCACACAGTCCCAAAACGCAAATGATCACCCCATTCTACCTTCTCATTTGCATGGCCTATTTTCTCCCCAAGAAATGTCCTAGGGAGCCAGCTGCTCCACTGCCTTATGTAACAGAAGATCTTTGGAAGGACTCATCACACTGTGCTCTGCGCAGGCATGTGCCCACCCCCCAATGCTACTACCTGTACTCCCTGCACAGCCCTGGCCTTCCAGGCTCTGCCCACCAGCGTCTCTGCCATCCATGCCTGAGAGCCAAGGAACAATTTCAAGCTCTGCTCTGAGAACTTCCTTCTTTGTACCTATCTATATCTTTCTCTCCTTCCTTCCTTCCTTCCTTCCTTCTTCCTTCCTTCCTTCCTTCCTTCCTTCCTTCCTTCCTTCCTTCCGTGTATACGTGGTACTGGACAGTGAACAGGACTCTACCACTTGTGACATGCTCTCAAGTCCACTTTGCTTTTTCAAGTTTACTTCTGACATACAGTCTTACTAACTTCACCTAGGCCTATACTCAAACTATGATCATCTTACCTCCACCTCCGAGTAGCTGGGGTCATATACACGCCAGCATGACTGCCCTGGGCCTACCCTAAACTCCTGTGGCCATTAAAGGAGAAGTAGCAAGGTGTTGATGATCGCCTGGGCTTCTCAATTACCTCCCCTGGCAGAGGCCCAGCCCCTGGGCTCTTGGGTCTGTCCATGCTGATGGCTACTCAGTGGGGCTGACAGCCTAGTGAAGAATGACCGGAGCTGCTGGGACACTAGCCATGCTAGTAGTCTGGTAATATGGAAATGCAGACTCCATTCCTGGCTCACTCTGCTACTGGCTGGTGATCTTGAGCAAGGAACTTCAACTGGAAGGGAAGTGTTTTCCATCCATAAACAAAAGTGTGTGCTGCTGTGAGGATAAACAAAAATCCACATGACACCTGTGTTTTTTGTTTTCAGGTCTTTAGAAAACAAAGGGTTATGGACTTGGACCAGCTCTAGGTCTTGGGCCCAGTGGCCTGCTCTACAGAGCTTGGACTTGGCAAGATCAGAATTGTGCAAGCCTATATCCATCTCTCAAACCTGGGCTGGTGGCTCGTGTCTGTAATCCTAACTAATTAGATATGAGGATCATAGTTTGAAGCTAGCCTGGGTAGGAAAAGTCTGGAAAACTCTCATGCAGTAAGCTACCCCCCTCCCAAAGAGAGAGAGAAAGAGAGACAGAAAACAGAGCTGTGGCTCCAGTGGTAGAGTGCTAGCATTGAGCAAAGAAACTCAGGGACAGGATGCAGGCCCTGAGTTCAAGCCCTAGGAGACACACACACACACACACACACACACACACACACACACACACACACATACACACACACACACCAATCTCTTAGTCTTTGTCTCTCTCTCTCTGTCCAAGTTCTTACCTGCACAGCAGCATGGAGTTCAAAGTCTCTTGTCCAGGTATCCAGCGAGGCCTGTGGAAAGCAGTGTTTTTCAATGATCCAAGAAGCTGCATTGCTATTTAATTCCTCAACTTTACTGCCTCTGCCCCCACCTCTCCTGCAGCTCATACTGAATTGATTCCTTTCCGTGTTTACAAATCTTCCTGTCCCCACCAAAAAATATCAGACCCATAAATCAGAGTGGCAGTAGGCAGTGAAGGTCCTGATTCACATGCTGAGTAAATTTTCTAGGTAAACCTTATTAAATATGAAGATTCCAAACTGAGGAGCATCCTACAGACGAGCAAACAGCAAAATCGGCCATGTGAACAGCAACCATGTCACCACGGCAAGCCCCAGGGCTCAGCTGATACCTGCCAGCCTCCCATCAGGCCTTCTCCAGCCTCGCTGCGCCCCAAAGAAACCACCACTTCCATGTCCAGCCTCACACATGCTTGATCCAATTCTATACTTGTACACGATTTTTAAATCTGACACAAACCAACACATAAGCATTTACCTTTCAACTTATGTTCCCTGTGGCAGGTTGATTCAGAATCTCTCAAATGTTGTATGTTGAACTTCAAACCCCCAGGACAGCTCAGAACGTGCCCTTACTCACAGACAGGGTGTTTATACAGAAGTCATCGAGTTAACCTAAGGTTACTCAGGTGGGCCCAAACCCACTGGAGTGATATCCACAAAAACAGTATAGTAGGCTCACAAGAACGTCATCTAAGAGATCAAGGAGTCCCAGGACCCACAGTAGGGCCGGCAGCAGATTCCCCTCATGGCCTGGGGAGGAACAGGTCCTGCCGAGCCTGGATCTTGGGGGCCAGCACTAGAACTGCAAAAGATTTCTGCCCAGTTGTGGTATTTGGTACAGCAGCCTGAGCAGACTAATCCAGTCTCCTGCTTTCTCTATGCCACATTTCCCTCCAAACTCCAAAGCAGTACTTCCTATCACAAAGGCCTCTTCCTACTTCTATTTCACAGTTTTGTAGACATCAACATCACTTTCCAAAAGAGATTTGAACAAAAATGGCTTTACGAGCTGCGTGGCCTTAATAGGTAGTCAAAAAATGATGACTACCCTCTGTCCACTCTCATGGTTACCCAGGTCTCTTCCCCCGGAGACGGTGCCTTGGACACATCTATAGATCTAAGTTTCACATATGTCTTTTCTCGCTGGGTGTTGGTAGCTCAGACCTATAATCCTAGCTACTCAGGAGGCTGAAAGCTGAGTCTTCAGGTTCAAAGCCAGCCAGAAAAATCTGAGACTCTTATCTCCAATGAGCCAACAAAAAGCTGGAAGTGGAAGCATGGCTCAAGCGGTAGAATATCACCTTGGGCAAAGGTGAGTAAGAGCACAAGGGTGCTGGGTTCAAGCCGCACTGGACCGAAACAACAATGACGACGAAATTCTCTGCTATACTCTTACAGAAAGAAGAAAAGTCTGAAAATCATAGAATTGTAAACCTAGCAGAGAAATGAAAACAACTTAATTCAGCTCATGGAACTCCTAGGAGAAAAAGAACAAAGAGGAAATAAGAGCCCACTGATGCACTCAGTACACAGGACATGGCTTGATGTCATCATCCCTGGGGACATGGAACCTGCGTACTGCCAGTCATGTCACTTCTGTCCCCTGCCTCCATCCATCGCACTCCTGTAGCATGGATGTCCCCCCTCTTAGGCCAGTCATGGTAACTAGCCTAAAACTAGTAAAGTATGGGTCTTCTCACAACCTCCAGATCTCTCTCTCTCTCTCTCCCCCACCCTCCTTGAGACAGGTTGTCAATATGAGCCCCAGTCTAGTCTTGCACTTGTGATCCTCCTGTCTCAGACTCTCAAGTACATGATTACAGGCATGTGCCACCATGCCTGGCTATATATGATAGTATTTTTCCCAACTAGCCCCACACCATACTTTCTCGATTCCAGCACAGACAAGTTGGGCAATCTAGTCATAGCTTGTAATGCAATTAACAGAAATAACCACTGCAGTTTGGAGAAAACAAATGGATCATAGAAAATTGAAATCCTGTTTGCCCATTAGTGTTCCTATTTAAATCTTAACTGTTTGATATTTCAACAAATGTTTAAAACGTTCACCATGTGCACTTGAGCCAAGTGAAATAATTACTAAAGAAAAAGAATCCAAATGAAAGAAAGGGGGGCTTTGCATCACAGCTCTGGCACTGGCCACATAGCACAAGGGTTGGGATGAGAAGAGCAGAGATCAGAACACCAGGGCACCAACGAGGGAACGCAGCCGCCACAGAGGGTGCACACACCAGTCTCTCGTCCCTTGCGGTGGCTATTAGCATTATCACAGTCAAATGCAATAGAAGAGGCCAAAAGCCTAAAAATGGATTCTGCATCTCCTGGTCTCTGAGGGATTCCTGCTGGAAGACTCGGCCATCTGCCGGTGACAATGCCTATGCGAGCCGTGCTGCAGGTGTGTCCCTTACTTTATTCAAGTAGGTGTCTCACCTAGAATGTTCTGTCTTACCCAGTTACTTGCCCCAAGTTTACCTATTTTCCAGGCCTTGGGACAAAGTCCCATCTGATTCTTTCACTTTGACCATTCAGTAAATATTTTTCTCTTTTTATTTTTGTTTTTATAGGCGGTCCCAGGGCTTGAACTCAAGACCTGGTCTCTGTCCCTGAGCCTCTCTGTGTTCAAGGCTAGCTCTCTACCACTTAAGCCACAAAAGCCACTTCTGGCCTTTTCTGTTTCTGTGGTACTGAGGAATTGAACTCAGGCCTTCATGCATACCACTGAGCCATGTTCCCAGCCCAGCAAATATAATTTAAGTATTTTTTTTTGGTCGGTCATGGGGCTTGAACTCTGGGTCTGGGCACTGTTCCTCAGCTCTTCAGCTCAAGGCAAGCGCTCTACCTCTTGAGCCACAGCACCACTTCTGTTTTTTTTAGTGCTTTATTGGAGATAAGAGTCTCACGGATTTTTCTGCCTGGGCTGGCTTTGAACAGAGATCCTCAGATCTCAGCCTCTTGAGTACCTAGGATTACAGGTGTGAGCCAGCAGCACCCGGCAGTATTTATTTTTTGTTATTATAAAGAGGATGGACAGAGGAGTTATGTGAGTCAAGTAATGGACAATGGCATCCTTTTTCCCCATTCTCTTCCAGTTTTTCCCTTTCGTCCCTACCCACAAGTTGTATAGTGAGTTCCACTGCTGCATCTGTTCACCCATTTAGCAAAAATCTAGTACACGCCAGCTATCACAGTCTCCTAGGATGCTCACTCCGTTCTCGCTCTTATGGGACTCAACAGTCCTGGGTGGGAAAGAGAAGCTAATCAAAGAGTCTTCAAATGAGAATCTGGTCAATGGTCCTGCTCTGGTGCACAACATGGAAGGCAAGCTGCCCTGGAGGGATGGGATCTGGCATCCGAGGTCAGGGAATGGCAGGAGTCCATGAGGAGCTGTCCTGGCCTTAGGATCCGAAGAGTCACCAATATTGTCTAGGCAAAGAGGGCTGGGAAGAATATTCTAGAAGACGAAACAGTCTATGTGCAGCCCCAGAAGTCACAGGTACTCAGCAAGCCTGGATAGAAGCCATGGGAGTGAACCCAAAATAGGAATCAGGCCTGGGGGTGAGCTGGGCGTGGGAGACGGCCCTGAACAATGATGGCTGTGTTGTAAATCTGTCCTCAGGGCTCAGCGCCAAAGGTATTTATCTTTCAGTCTTTGTGTCCCACAGTACCTGGCTTTCTCTCTACTGCCCCCTCTACTTAGAGACCTGGGCGCTGAGCCTCTGGGTTTGCTTTGGGGCCGCTCACTCACCTCGTAAGCCTCCTTGATGGGCCTGCACTTCTCTATCTGGTAGAGCTGGGTCTTGTAGCACATGTTGTCCTGGAGTTCAGACTTCTACCAGAGGAAGGAAGAGAAAACATGGCTTAAGTCTTAGAAAACAGAAAGGTCCATGGAGCGGACATGAAATCATAAACCAGTGCTTGCTTGGACCAAAAGAAAGCCAGTCAATTGGAGAGCAAGGTCCCATCTCTGCACCACAGTCCTAGGCTTCCGCCCAGAGTCAGGGATTTCCCTTCCCCTCGGAGCTCTGCCATCGGAGGGTCAGGTAACCTTGGGCCAGTCACTGCTCCCTCGGGGCCCTCGTTCTTTCTTCTGGGCAGTGGAGACTATGCCAGCTGGGAAATTAGAAATTAAATAGGTGCGCTGGGAAGAATGCCTATTTTATCAAACCACTAAGCAGAATATTGATCTTGCTTGTTTGCTTATTTGAAAACAGCACACAAAGCCAGATGTGCCAGCGGCTCATGCCTGTAATCCCAGCTATTTAAACCAGCCAGGGAAGAAAAGCCCATGAGACTCTTATTTCCAATTAACCAGCAAAAAGTTGAAAGTAGAGATGTGGCTCAAGTAGCAGAGTGCCAGCCTTGAGTGGAAAAAGAAAAGGGAAAGCATCCTGGCCCAGAGTTCAAGCCCTGGTATCAGCACACATTCACACAATAAATACCAGTAGTAAGTAAACAACTATAGAGCACAAACTCACACCCTAGAAAATCATGATAGATATTAAGGTGACTTATGATGACGGAGACTCAATCTTGGCTGAAGGCAGAGAAAATTTAATTGACTAATGAATTTGTCAACCCACAGTTAATGAGTGCCCTTTATAAACTCTCTCACACATCTTGGTTTTAAAAGAAGGAAACCAAGGAAGAAGGGGAGAAATGTCAAATAATTGAAAGGGCAATATTTTACTTTTTGGTCCATTAGACTGGATTTCCAAATTATGCCTTGGCTGCTAATAACTGGCCGATAAGATGAATAACTGAGACAGCACAGTTAAATGAACCCTGTCTGGAAATTACCAGCAGTCGTTGTCTGGGGGATTAATCCATTTGCCTCATCTGGTTTTTCCCACAGGTATGTCCTGTGATTGAAAAGTCAAGTGTGAAAAACTGGCACAATAACATGAAAACCTTCTCCAGCCCAAATGGTATCTGGGCTGTTTCCAGAAAACGTTCTTCAGGCTTTGGAACCCTGATGCCTGACAAGCACAGGAGCGGACTGCAGCGGAAGCAAGACACTCACAGAAGCAACACAGAGGTGTCACTTGCTTGGGAAGAGCTGCCCAGTTATTTTATAAGATCATCTTGTAAATTATTTCCTTTTATTTATTTTTTAAAATTGTGACTCTACAGGTGATAAGCAGAGGGGCTAGGATTATTTTAAACAAACCTCATATCTGTCCATGTGGAAGGATCCACAGAAACTTTAACATCAGACATGCTTCCATCTTAGTAAACCACCTAGAGAACCAGACTGCTTGAATCTGCTCAGTGATTGATGGATGGATACATGGGTGGATAGATGGATGGGCTGCTAGATTGCTGGGACCAGGGCTTGAACTTAGTGCCTCACACTCTTCACTCTTAAATAGCTTCTTGCTGCAGTCTGGCACTGTTATCACTTGAGCCACTTTTCTACTTCTGGCTTTTTGCTAGCTTTTTGGAGACAAGAGTCTCACCAATTTCCTGCTTGGGCTGGTTTGGAATCTTTTTTGTTGTTGTTGGTCGTGGGGGCTGAACTCTGGGCCTGGGCGCTGTCCCTCAGCTCTTCAGCTCAAGGCTAGTGCCATACCACTTGAGCCGCAGCGCCACTTCTTACTTTTTTCTGCTTATATGGTGCTGAGGAATGGAACCCAGGGCCTCATGCATGCAAGGCAAGCACTCTACCACTGAGCCAATTTCCCAGCCCCTAGCTTGGAATCTTAGCCCTCAGATCTTAGCTTCCTGAGTAGCTAGGATTACAGATGTGAGACACAGGCACTAAGAAGCCAGCCTAGCTGTGATGGTTGATCTTGCTTGACCACTTGGCTGGACTGAGAGAGCCTTCTGGGAAATTAGTGATGTCTGTGAGGTGTTTCCAAAGAGGATTAAGTAAGGGCAGGAAGACCCACCCTGAATGTGGGCAGCACCCTCCTACAGAGGGTCTGGATGGAATTAAAAGGGGTAAAGGAGAAAGTCTGCCAGCATTAGCATAGGCATTCTGTGTGTGTGTGTGTGTGTGTGTGTGTGTGTCCATGTCTCTCTCTCTCCTCCTTCCTGCCCACCCTCTGCCACATGTTCCCACTGCCATGAGGTTTTGCCTTACCCTAATCAAAGCCACTGAATCAAAGCCACTGAACTGCAATCTATGAAACCATGAGCCAAAATAAATACTTCTGCTATTTATGTTATTCTCTCAAGTAATTTGGTAACAGCGATAGAGAGCTAATGAACACAACAGCCTTAGGTACTTAGTTACGGCAATAGAAAACAGACTATTGCACATAGGAGGTGTCAAAAGTCTTGTCTTCCTGGATTTGATGCTTCTCTTTCAGCAGCTTTCCCTTGAGTAATAAAGCCTCGAGGCTATGCATCTGCCCCTGCCAGAAATGCCATCCCATTGCTGCTTGTGCAGAGTGGAGTTTCCACCCCATAAGCATGACTCTTACTTTGCAAAGCCTTTTACTGTTGACAATGTTTCTTCTTTTTAAAAAAAAAATTTTCTTTTTTTTTTTTTTGCCAGTTCTGGGGCTTGAACTCAGGGCCTAGGCACTGTCTCTGAGCCTCTTTGTGCTCAAGGCTAGCACTCTACCACCTGAGCCACAGCACCACCTCCAGCCTTTTTGGTTTATGTGGTACTGAGGAATTGAACCCAGGGTTTCATGCATGCTAGGCAAGCATTTTACCACTAAGCCACATTCCCAGTCCGTACTATTTCTTCTTATTTACATCTTTCCTTTGATCTCTTTGTGTCTCTGTCTCTTTCTCTCTCTCTCTCTCTCTCACACACACACACACACACACACACACACGTTCTGTGTATCATTTCCTGTAGAAGCAAACGCTAGCAAATATCCTAAGCTGAATCAGCTTAGAAACATCTGTTCTTTCATCTAACTGTTTAACAAATCTCCTGTTGAGCTTGTTCCTGTGTTGGGCAGTGTTTTCTATCTGAGACACACTCAGACTATCTCTTGTAAGTTATTATTATTATTTTGGTCATTTCTACGATGGCAGGGAGAATATAATTTCTCCAAATGCAGGTAGATCCTCAGTTTTGCTCTAAAAACTCCCAAACAGGATTCCAAACCAATTGCTTTGGTGAAATTTGGTGACAGACTGGGGTTACTGTGGGACTGCACACAGCACTTACGCAACTACACATCCTCAAGGTGCAATACAAAGAAGGTCAAGGTCATGTGGTGAAAGTGAATGAAAGCTCAGTTACGTCTCAAATGGGCTTCCTGCCAATCCTGGATCTCTTAGGCTGACTTCCTGTTAGAGCTGGTCCATGCCACCCATCTGGATGGAAGTTGCACACAGAATCTATTTTCTTTATAAAGTTCTTTCCAAGTCTTGTCCCTTTGGAGATGATTTCGTGAACTCTGATACTGAAGCGTTTCTACGCCATTTCCCAACATATATGAACTCTTTGTGGCCCAAACGATGAAGGGGATGAGGATGTTGGAGCGCCTCTGTCCACTTCACGCAGTGGTGGGTTCGGGACCCGTGTGTGACAGTGTATTTGGATTTCTGACGCCCAGAATATGTGTGGGTGACAGGTTCAAGCTAGTGAGGCTCAATATGCTCTTATTTCCTGGAGATGTGTAAGCATCATTGTCCCTTGGTACCTTTGGGTGATTGGCTCAAGGAACTCCAAATATAAAATCTATAGATACAAAGACCCTTATAAATAGTGCAGTATTTACACATAAACTATGAATACCTTTAGATGATATATAATGTAAAATACCATGTAAGTGCTATGTAACTAGTTATTGTTTTTTTTGTGGGGTTCTTTTTGTATGTGCGTGCTAGTACTGGGGGCTTGAACTCAGGGCTTCATGCTATGCCTTGACTTTTTCACTCAAGGCTGGCACTCGACCACTTCCTATACCTCCACTTCTAGCTTTTGGCTGGATAATTGGGAGAATCCAGAAAGTCTCTCAGATTTGTCTGCCTGGGATGGCCTCAAACTGTGATCCTCAGATCTCGGCCTCCTAAGTGGCTGGTATCACAGGTGTGAGCCACCACCACTCGGCTTCTAATTGCATTTTGTTATTGTTTAGGAAATAATGGTTAAGAAAAAACAGTCTACCTCCAGACAAACACAATCTCTTTTCTTTTCTTCTTTTTTTTTGGGGGGGTGGGGTGGGGTGGGGTGGTAGTGGTCCTAGTCCAGAGGCTTGAACTCAGGGCCTGGGCACTTGTCCCTGAGCTTTTTTGCTCAAGGATAACATTCTACCATTTGAGCCACAGCTCCACCTCCAGCTCTTCTGGTAGTTAACTGGAGATGAGTCTCACAGACTTTCCTGCCCAGGCTGACTTCAGACAATGATCCTCAGATCGCAGCCTCCTGAATAGCTAGACACTATCCAGTGGGTACCATTGCTACATTTGATTGCCCTATGTCGGACACAATTGTTTCACATTAATTTCAATCTGTTGCTGGGACCTGGCAGACAAGCAATCTTTAGACACAGAGGGCTGGCTGCACATGTGTTCCTCATGCTCCATGCTTTAGAGAGGAGATGTGTGACTACCATGTACTGCTCCCTAACTTTCTACAACCAGAGAATTCCTCAAAGCTTCTAACATGGGGAATCCCCGATAGCTAAGAAATGACAGAAGAAATATAAGCAACTGGGAAGCTGAGAGAAAGGGAGGCGGGAAGGGACCCTCCTTCCCTTGACAATTCTGTCCCAGGCTTCGTTTTTCAGAGAAACATCTCAGATTCAAGGTGCTCTCCTAGATGCTATGACTTTCCCCCACATGCAGGAAACCCAGCCTTACGTTAGGTTAAATGATCAGCCTGGATCAGGTGGCTGCCACTGGGCAGGGCTGGGTTTACGTTCCCACTCACCCCTGACAAGTAGCGCTGGAGTTTCTTGTTGAGGAGGAAGTAGATGGCGAGGATGTGGCAGGCGCGGTTGGACAGCACCGTGTTGATGACATCGCTGTTCTTGTAGCCCAGCTTCTCAGTCATGTGCAGCACCACGCTGGGGCTCAGGTCTTCCAGAGAAATCCTTCAGGCAGAGACAGAAAACCCATCACCTCCTTAGCTGCTGGAGCGGCTCACCAACATGGTGGCACACGGTCAGATCTTCCCACAGGGCTTCCCAGACAGTTTGGTTCACTCATTGTTTTTTTTTTTTTTGGTCAGTAATGGAGCTTGAACATGGACCTGGGAGGGCTCTACCACTTGCGCTACACAGCGCCACCTGCAGTTTCTGGGGGTTAACTGGAGATAAGAGTCTCACGGACTTTCCTGGCTGGGCTGGCTTTGAACTGCGATCCTCAGATCTTTGCCTCCTGAGTAGCTAGGATTATAGGCATGAGCCCCGGTTTTGTAGTTTGGGTCTTTGTTTCTCATTATATTTTTGTGATCTTTCTGTAGTTGTATAATGGATTTGCAATTCAATATGTCAGTTTTATGAGTACAATGCATCTTGATCAACGACACACACATACACGCACACATACTTTTGTGTGTGTGTTTTGGTAGTAGGGCTTGATTTCTGGGCACTCTCCCTTAAGGTTTTTGCTCAAGGCTGGCACTCTACCATTTGATACACACCTTTCCTTCTGGCTTCTTTTTGCTGGTTAATAGGAAATAAGGAATCTCACAGACTTGCCTGCTCAGGTAGGCTTTAAACCATGATCCTAGATCTCAGCTTCCTGAGTAGCTAGGATTACAGGCGTAAGCCACCAGTGCCTGACCATTCACTGTATTCTAATTAGATACAACATGACATCATTATCTCCATTTTACATCTGAGGAACTGAAGCCCACGGTAGTGCAGTAGCCGTCCCAGGGCGACTCAGACAGGAGGGGGTACCCTCAGAATTAAAGCCAATGCAGCCTGGAGTCTGGATGCTGGAGCTCAGCCCTTATTCTCAACCAGCACAAAAAGGCTGCAGAGAAGCCAGGGATACCAGAATCCTTAAAAGAGATACAAGGAAGGCACTGGAGCAGAACACGTCTGTTGGCCAGCTCTGCCATCACCCGCACAGCACTTGAGGTCTCCCTGAAGGAACCCCAATAGCCCTGCACACACAGACACTGCACAGTTTAACCTCAATGGTAAAGAGAGGCCTGGCACGCTCACTGCACACAGCAGGTCAGTTGGCAGACCCAGGGCAAACTGCCTCTCCTGACCACTCTCCACCTGCCATGAAACCTGCATCTCCCTTCATCATACACCGTGCCCAGGAGAGCAAGTCCTTACTGCAGTCAGATACTACATGATAAGCTCTAGATAACAAGTGGGGGGGGCATGTGTATGTGTATATTGGTTAAAGGCATGGCTGGGTGGTAGAGCTTGCCTAGTATGTATGAGGCTCTGAGTTCTAGCCTCAGCACCAAAACAAATATTTAAAAACAAATATATCATTTCTCCCTCTCCCTCCCTCTCCTCTTCTCCCTATCCCTTTCTCCTCCTGCTCCTTTTTTCTTCTTTCTCCTCCTCCCCTCTTTTTCTCTCCCCCTCCCATACTGGACTTGAATCTAGAGTCTTTACCACTTGAACCGCACTCCCAGCCTTATTTCTTCTATCATTCTTCTTCTATACTACAATTGCTTGTCAAAACATTGAGCACGTGATTGTGTGATTGGTATGGGTGAAAATACTGGAAATGTCAAAGTGGGTGTGGTCCTGTAACTAGCCAATCACCTGTGACCCTGCCAATGGCCAATGAGATCACCACCAACACTTGCACAGCCTCATTTTGGTCTAGAGAAGGGGTATGGTAGGGCATAGGATGGCACCATAGCAGGGAAGAGAATGGAGATTAAGAAGGAGGAATGTGTGTGGAGACAGACACCCCGCCTCTGTCCTTTATCTCTGGGTTCAAAACTAGGAGAGCAACCAATTCTTTACTGAGAGTAATAATATTTTAACCAATAACATATGTGCATGATGCTCTCCAATGTTATTGAAGTTGTATTATCTCTGCATGTGTGGGCCAAACAGCATACTAAAATGTTCCAGATTATGATGAAGGATCATTTGGATCAATTAAAAGTACATTAAATCCATTTCATACCATTTCTAAAAATCCAACCCTGTCTTGTATTACTGATCATCTCCTTTCCGTCCACCTACCTCCAGTGCTACATGGGGCGGGGGTGGAGGATGGGGGTCAGGAGGGGGCTGCCAGGCCCCATTGGGACACAGGAATCTAGGTCAGCTCTGTCACCAATGTCTGTGCCCGGGTCAGGAAGGCAAGCCAGGCACTCAGCAAACATGTGCTGACTGAGTGGCATGAATATTTATCATAAAAAATTTACCCCTAATGTTCTTTTCATCTTGCCGTTTAGAGATCAACCTGAAGGCCCAAATGACCTCACAGGGAAAAGCTTTAAAGAAGAGTGATGTAAACTTGCAGGTTTTGTTTTCTTTACTTTCCCAAAGGACTAACACTGAGCACATCTCAAATAATTAAGTCTGGAGCTAGAAATTGGGAAACTACATGACATACTTTATAAAGAAAACACTTTTCCTTCCTTCCCTCCCTGCCTCCCTCCTTCTCTGTCTTCCTTCTGAGACTTGAAATCAGGGCCTCACCCCTGCCAAGCAGGAACTTTACCCCTAGTCACGCCTCCAGCCTCTTTTTTGTGGGTTTGTGTGTGTGCGTGCATGTGCATGCTCATGTGCATTTGTGTGTGTGTGCATGCTTTTGTGCATTTGTGTGTGTGTGTGTGTGTGTGTGTGCACGCGCATGCATGCATGCACGCACTGCTCCTGGGGCTTAAACTCAGGGTCCAGACACTGTCCAGGAGCTTCTTTTGACTCAAGGCTAGTGCTCTACACTTGAATCACAGCTCTATTTCCAGTTTTCTGTGGTTAATTGGAGATATGGCTTACAGACTTTCCTGTCTGGGCTGGCTTTGAATCATGAACCTCAGATCTCAGCCTCCTGAGTAGCTAGGATTACAGGCGTGAGCCACGGGCACCCAGCTTGTGTTGGTTATTTTGGAGCTAGGGTTTCACTTTGTGTCTGGGTCAGCCTGGACTGCACTCCTCTTACTTGTGCGTCTCCATGTCACTGAGGGTGATGGGCCCAGCCCCTGTACTGCATAAGCAGCTGGGATGACAAGGGTAGACCACTGCACTTGACCACTGGCTGACATGGAGTCTGGGCTGGCCCCAAACCACGATCCCCCAATCTCTACCACCCAACTTGCTAGGACTGCAGAACTGAGCTAACTCTCCTGATGGAAAATATTCCTTTCTTTGCTTTTGTTTTTCTTCCTTTGTTCTGGAACCAGAAAAATAACGACCAAAAACTTTTTTTGGGGGGGGTGGGGTAGGGGTGTCAGTTGTGGGGCTTGAACTCTGGGCCTGGGCACTATCCCTCAGCTCTTCAGCTCAAAGCTAGCGTTCTACCACTGGAACCACAGGGCTACTTCTGTTTTCTGGTGGTTTATTGGAGCTAAGAGTCTTACGGGGCTAGGAAGGTGGCTCAGTGGTAGAGTGCTTGCCTTGCATGCATGAGGCCTTGGGTTCAACTCCTCGGCATCACATAAGCAGAAAAAGCAGGAAGTGGTGCTATGGCTCAAGTGGTAGAGTGCTAGCTTTGAGCTAAAGATTGAGGGACAGTGCCCAGGCCCAGAGTTCAAGCCCACGACCAACAACAACAACAACAAAAAGAGTCTTATGGACTTTCCTGCCCAGGCTGGCTTTGAACTCTGAGCCTCAGATCTCAGTCTCCTGAGTAGCTAGGATTACAGGCCTGAGCCACTGGTGCCTGGCAACTCTTTCTTTCTTAAAACCATCCTTCTAACTGGTTGCATGCTGAATCTTTATGTTTCTCACTCACTGAATCCAAATGCCAAAAGTATCCATCTGGCCAAATCAGTGTAGAAAATTTGCTTAGAAGTTTTGATGTATGGGATTCGGTCTGCACCTGGTGGAAAAGCTACTACAAGATAACATAGCACATGGAAACTCTTTGTCAGTGAAGATGTAGCCAAAGAGGGGGCTCCCTGCATTTCTGACCCGAGCGCCTCCCACAGCTGGCGTGATTATGCTGATTCAGAAGGTGATTACATTAGCTGATGCCTCATTTGGCTGTCATAACATCCCTCCTTTAACAAAAAGCAAACCTGCGCACCCATAGCCATTGGTCACGAGGCCTGGCCCCCTTAGCTCTGTTTCCCGTCTCACACTGGGATAATATTTCTCGTGTCTGTCTCACATTCTGGCCCAAACTGAGCAGGTGTTGGAAAACAGCATCTATTTCCAGGTTCCCTTGGTAACTCACCCAAGTCACCCTAGACTTGGTCTAAATTACCACCCAGGAGCCAAATGCTAGAATTCTAGATGGAAACAGAGTAAAATCATCTCCTCTATGACTGGGGTAAGAGTAAACTTGACCCAGGAGCAAGGATGAAGATTTGGAGAAGCCAATCTATACCCCTTAAGTTCTTCTAGAACTTTCCATCTCAAGACAGCACTCTGCCACCCATCTTCCTTAGAGAATGCAGTGATTCCCCTTGCATGAGGATGTGTGGCCATTTCCAGGCTTTCTTAGCTATTTGGGAAATACGACCACAAAGGACATTGCCCACACCTCATCTTTTCTCTCCTCCCAGCCCCCAATCTCTCTCTCCCTTGGTGAAGGGTTCTCTAGTTCTCATCCAAGCTTGGTTGAATGGGCAGGCCTTCGTAGGTCTGAAGAAAGAAGGAAGGAGCCTGGTCAGAAGCAGCCACGGTGGCACCCTTGTTCCCACACTCAGATTGGTTCTCGGTACCAGAGTAAGTAGAAGAGACACACAAGAAAGTGTTTCCTCATACTCCTTCCAACCTGTAGGCAGCGGCCCAGCAAGGCCCCTTCAGTGAGGGCTGCATCAAGTGACCCTCCATATCCCTATGCTGGGGGTCTGTCTGCAGCCTTCCTTTCTAGGTGTCTTCATAAAGCCTCTGGAAGTCCACAGGACCTGGCCTTAAGACAGGGTTGGGGCAAAAAGATGCACCAAGGAATAACATTAGGCTGTCCCTAGTGGCTCTAGCCTGTAATCCCAGCTAATGAGATCTGAGGATCAAGGTTCAAAGCTAAAAAGTCCTTGAGACTCTTATCTCTAATTAACACCAGAGAACCAGAAGTGGAGCTGGGGCTCAAAGATAGAGAGCTAGCCTTGAGCAAAAGAGCTCAAGCATAGCTCTCAGGCCTGGAGCTCAAGCCTAAAGACAACAACTACAAAGGTGATGAAGATGAAAAAGGCAAAGGAGATGAAGAGGAGAAGAAGTGGTTTTGGCAATGAGGATGGCCAGGAATTCAGCCTCCACTCACTGCACTCAGCCTGGCGCCCCCTGCAGGGCACCCCTTGCTCCTGCATGGGACGGCCCTTTCTGTACTTCCTTTTACTCGGGGAGCTGGTCTGGTGTGTGGATGCACCTCTGCAGAGGCGGGGAAGGACATCCAGGAGAAAATGCAGCTTCATTTCCCATCACATAGGTCCTGTGTACAATTATTTGGAGCTGGTGGAGCGAGCCCTGTGTGGCCGGAGTCCCTCTGTGTGCGCCAAATTACCTGTTGGGATAGGTGACATTACAGGGCACTTTGCCGGTGTAATTCTCATTCAGCCAGCGATTGGCCAGTGCCTGGTGGATATTTGGCCTCTTCACGGGGTCTGGTTCGAGGAGAGAGCGAAGGAAGTTGATGGCCCCTGGAAGACATTGGGCAAAGAACACATCCAGGTTATAGGCTGAACACAGGTGCAGAGATGGCAAAGAGCAATTCAGGGTGGCTCAGCACCTGGCCTGCCCTTCCTGAGCCTCACTTGGGGTGATCTTTCTCTAGGTGTCTGGGCTAGGCTTTGATTGGATGGTTTATAGATGGCAGGTTCAGTTCTAGCTCTTCAAAAAGTGAGGACTTAAAGTCTCCTTTCCCTATCTTTTTCAAAAAGAGGTACTAACTACCCTACGTATCTGTCCAAGAAGTGTTACTGACCATGACAGACTAAGACTGGGTTTGGTCCCCTCAGCCACGTACTTCCCAATAAAACCTGTGGTCTTCTCTGGCTGCTTGGAGGTGAGCCAAAGAAGGATACATAACAATGAAGGTGCTGGGTGGGTGCTGGTGGCTCAGGCCTATAATCCTAGGCTACTCAGGAGGCTGAGATCTGAGGATCATACTGCCAAGCCAGCTCGGGCAGGAAAGTCTGTGAGACTCTTACTTCCAATTAACCACCAGAAAACTGGAAGAGGCGCTGTGGTTCAAAGTGGTAGAGTGCTAACCTTGAGTGGACAAAGCTCAGGAACAGTGCTCAGGCCCTGAGCTCTAACGCCACAACTGACAAGAAGTAAAATAACAAAAATAAGTAAATGAAAAAGAAAAAATGAAGGCAAATAAGCAGGAAATGCTCCCAAGGAGGTGGCAGAGCACCCAGGAATGAGCAAGAGGATCAAGTACTAAAAGCCCATCCTTGATGTTGGTTCTTTCCATGGAAAATTGTATCTTAGGTCTTTTTCTTCTTTCTTTCTCTCTCTTACAACAGTACTGAGACTTGAACTTGGCACTGTTTCCACCCTCCAAGGATGGAGCCACAGCTCCACTTTCAGCTTTTTGTTGGCTAATTGGAGATAAGAGTCTAATAGACTTTCCACAGGCTGGCTTTGAACCGCGATCCTCAGATCTCAGCCTCCTGAGTAGTTAGGATTATAGGCATGAGCCCGGTGCCCAGCTGCCATTGAGTTTTCAAGCTAGTGCAATTCACTAGCTATACGAAGAGGCCCATCTTACTGAGCGACATCAAAAAAGGTCAGTTGTGAGATTATAAAATAAATTCCAGACAAACAATCCTTCGAAGGGCATTCCCCTAGGTAACTCCTCCAGGCAATAGCTCATGAAATCGTAAGACGATCTTCCTTTCAGAATGTGATAGGCAAAAATTTATGTCTGGACATGCTAACAGTCCTGAGGTATATTTGATACTTTTAAGTCTGATGGCTTGGTTTCCAAATGAAACTTTCCTAAAATGTTCTCCAATGGTCTGGAAAGCAAATGGATCTCCCAAAGAGAAGGTTCCTGGCTTTTGGACTTTCTTTCTTCCTCCCCTCAGCATCTTTACATTGCAGCCATAACTTAGACCTTAACTAAGGTATTTGTTTAAAAGAAAAAGATATGGCCAGCTGCTGGTGGCTCATGTCTGTAATCCTAGCTACTCTGGAGGCTGAGATGTGAGGATTACACTTCAAAACCAGCCCAGGCAGGAAGGTCTATGAGACTCTTATCTCCAACTACCAAAAAAGCTGGAAGTAAAGCTGTGGCAAGTGGCAGAGTTCTAGTCTTGGGCAAAAAAAGCTCAGGGACAGTGCCTTGACCCTGAGTTCAAGCTCCAGAATAGGCATGAAAGAAAAAGAAAGAAAGAAAGAAAGAAAGAAAGAAAGAAAGAAAGAAAGAAAGAAAGAAAGAAAGAAAGAAAGAGGGAAAGAAAGGAAGAAGACAAAGAAAAAGAAGAAGAAGGGAAGGAAGGAAGGGAGGGAGGAGGAGGGAGGGGGAAGGAAGGAAGGAAGGAAAGAAGGAAGGAAGGGAGGTAAGGAGGAAGGGAGGGAGGGAGGGAAAGAAAGGAAAGGAAGGAAGGGAGGGAAGGAAAGGGAGGGAGGGAAGGAAAGGGAAGGAGGGGAGGGAGGGAAGGAAGGAAGGGAAGGGAAGGAAGGGAAGGGAAGGAAGGAAGGAAGGAAGGGAGGGAGGGAGGGAGGGAAGGAAAGAAAAGAAAGGAAGGAAGGAAAGGAAGGAAGGAAGAAAGGGAAGGAAGGAAGGAAGGAAAGGTAGAAAGAGAAAAGAAGAGGGAAAAGGAAAAGATATGAGCTAAATGAATCCATTTGGGCAGGTTGCTAAGCTAGGATACCTTCCTGAGGACCTGTACGGAGTACAATTAACCAGAATTGCTAAGGATAAACTAGATATGCATTTTTGTTCTATTTTCACAACTACGCACTCTTGAGTCTTCATAAATTGCTGATGAACCCAAGTAATTTTTAGTTCACGTCTCTGCTGACAAATTCTCTTTCTTCGGCTATCGCTCACGTCGCACTGCTATTGTGAACGGATTTGGGAGACAGCCCCTAGAGCTCTCTGAGGTCTACGTGAAAATCTTGAAAGCCCTATGGCTAAGATTCTCCTCCTGTCCCAGAAAGCCATGTCACGCTGCAGCCCTCCGAGCCAAGATCTGGGTTCCCCACTCAGGCTGGCAGAGCTGGGGTGAGAGACATGGGTGTGATGCCACCCTTCACATAGCCCAGAGTCACACTGCAGTGGTGCAAAGCCCTTTTTCCTCTGCGAGATGTCAGCCTTCCCAAGTCTGGGCTTGTTTGAGCTTGAATGCCATGACCAGAGCAAGGCTGCAGGAGAGAGACAAAGCCATTAAGTTCTCAAGTAAGCCTAGCCCACTCGCTGCAAGTGGAGGCCCATCCCGCTACAGGCTGCTTCCTTCCCTCCTCCCAGCTACAGGATTGTCTGGGCAAGGTTGGAAATCTTACCCGGCCCGGGCTCAGCTTTCCCCAGTGCTCTCCCTCCTCCAGCTTCACTTTGGTGAGTTCATGGCCCAAGCCCCTCTTAATTGGAAGTGACTGTGAGGAATGTCTTAGAGATGCGATCACTGAGACGCATGATGACAGAATAAACAGTCTGAAAAATGTTCAAGCTTTGAAAGGCAGTCACTACTTGGTGATACACAAGTGCTAGCTTGCAGAAAGAGGAAACTGTCCAGGAGAGAGAACTGAGAGGCCCCCAGAGTGTCAGTTTGCCAACTACATGATGGAAATGCAGATGATCATTGTTTGGGAACACACTGCATCGATTTACAAGGGCAATGATGCTGTGTGCTTCAGACATGAAAATGCACAAACTTTCTTTTTTGTTTTTTTGGGTCCGGTCATGGGGCCTGAACTCTGGGCCTGGGCGCTGTCCCTCAGCTCTTCAGCTCAAGGCTAGTGCTCCACCACTTGAGCCACAGCGCCACTTCCGGTTTTTTTCTTTTTGCTTATGTGGTGCTGAGGAATCGAACTCAGGGCCTCAGGCATGCAAGGCAAGCGC